TGCCTCTGATCGTGGCAGTTTAACCCAGCGACTAGCAAAACCAGCCTCTGTGGGTCTAGGCCTCTAAGCCGCTGCTTTTGCAGCCGTGAACTCCAGGGGTAATCCTGCACATGCAAAACAGCATCGCTTTTGAGATTCCTGGAACTCTAATGCCGCCACAACCCAGAATCGCAGAATCAAGAGTAACCACTGCCTCGACGGCCACCTACCTTTTCGAAGTGCTCATGTCCACCGGCTCGTCCCCCGTCTGCACCTCCACTTTGATGGTGGCTTTCATTTCCCCGCCTTTTAATAATCCCGGGACTCTCCCAGAGGTGGGGTCAGTCTTTATCTTAAGGTCCCCGCCTTCCGCATTGGCCTCCGGGGCCCCCAAAAGGCCTTTGTCCAGCTTCATCTTTTTACTGTCAACGTCGTTCTGGTTGATCTCGCGTTCCAGCGCTCGCTTCTGGCTCCGTGTCCGGCAGGCTTCCTCCGTCATTATGGTGCTCTGGGAAGAACACGAGAGAGAGAGAGAGAGAAGACACACACGGGTGATTTGAGCTGCCACCTATCCACGGGACGAGCGTCTTGCTTTTACAGGCCGTGCTGATTTCCAGAGAGGACCAAGCTCAGATGCAACAGAAGCCACCTGGCTCCACACCTCCGGACAAGTTAGACCCACACCTGCATAGGTCGTAAACTTGACAAAGGAGTGTTTTCTCGCTGGAAAGAGCCTTGGAAATCCCCACCCACCCCATGCATGCATGGAAATTTGCTTTCTAGGAATTCCGGGGCAGGGTCTTTCCGAAGCCACCTGCCTGTATGTTCTGGACTGACTGCTGGACTCAAAAAGCAAGGGAGGGGACTTCACGGCCACCATGTGCAGCCTGCTGGCCTTCGCCGTTGGCTGCCAAACAGACGGAGGAGGCCTCTGAAACCTAAGCGCTCAAGTCGTCGGTGCTTTCTTAATTAACAAGGACCCCCAAACTTGCTGGTCAAGAAGTACGTGAGGCCCTCTAGGAATCCACAGGGGGTGATTTCAGGGAAGGGGGCTTTCCAAAGTTAGTTTTGGGGGCTTTTCTCCCTCTTCCCCCCCGCCCCTTGGCTGCTCCCCCCCCCAACCCTGTTCGACTGTTACCTGCAAGACAGACACACATATCTGATGCAAAAGAGCTGAGTCAGTTTGTGATCTCATGACATCACTAGGTCCACACATGACCTTTCCCAGGATTCAGTCGGAGAGACAAAGCACTTTCCAGAAAACCGGTCTGAACTGGTTCCAGACAACAAGCTAAGTGTTGTTAACCCCTCGCGGGGAGACACCACCGTTGCAGCGGCGACAGCATCTGCCTGCCTGCGAGAGAGAGAGCCGCGCAGCCGGCATTCCAGCACAGGCAGCCCAGAGCATCCCCCCCCACATGCTCTTTTAAAGGGGCAGCCGCACCGGGATAGCTGGCTGCCGCTTCGGTGCCAAAGTAGTCTTGGAAAAACAGATGCCTGCAAGTAAAACTTTGGAGGGGGGGGTTGAGGGGGAGGAGACAAGGGAGATCAAACTAGGAGAGGGGAAGGGGAAAGTTGGCCAAAGTGCTTCCCAAATATCTCGCTAACTTTTTGTTCTGACTTTGGGGAGGGGTGGCAACGGATGGGTGTTCCTGAGATGCCCAGGTCTGCCAGAGAGACTTTTTTTAAAAAAAAGAAGGGAGGGGCAGGCAAAAGCGGTTGGCCCTTCCCTTCCCAAGACCTGGAGCCAACAGGGCATCTGTTGCAAAGGGAAGGGATTTGGCACGCTGTGTTCGAGAAAGGGAGCTGCAAACTGTGCGCTGGGAAAAGAGAAGAACAGAGCGCAACTTTGAGAACTAGGAATTTGTAAAGGAGGCGCGGGTCTCCACTCTCCTGACGTTAGCCTGGCCAGAAAACTCGGCGGCGTTGGGGAGCCCACCTGGCCACAGAAGGCCCAACAGAGATGATGCCTCTACTGCTGAACGTGGGGGGAGAAGAGAGAAGAAACCCTCTAAAGCTGAACGGTGTGTGTGTGTGTGTGTGTGTGTGTGTGTGTGTTCCTGTCCCACTGTAAGCCTTCGACAGCCTCTCGGGCAAAGGCAGCAGTGATCCGCGACTGGCACCTGGGAAATGCCACGCTGCAATTTATCTGCCCGTGGACGGTCTTGTACCACTTAAGAGCCAACAGAGACACCTTCTGCCACCAGATCCAAGGAGAACCGTCTCGCACGCGGGTTCAGGAAAAGAGCACCGGGACAAACTCACTTCTGAACTAGCTTTCCTACTTCTAGAAGGAAACCCATCTTGGCAGGCCGGTTCGTGCGGAACTCTGTTCAGACCACGGGCTCGCTTCCCAGGAGGCAAACTGTCCCTCGGGGCCAAGGAGGAACGACACCTTCCCCCACCAGTTCCGGCTGCCCGCTTTCACCTGCCTTGTCTCTTGGCTCCCCTGGCTCTGGGAGTCACAAGACAGAGCCCTCTGCTGCCATTTGCACTGGGAAGGAAAGGGTTCGAGAGCCTTTTGCCTATGTCACTCACAGCTCAAAGACGGCAGCTGAGCCCTTTGGGCTGGGGGGGGGCTGTACAGCTGGTCATACAAGAAGCCACTTGGGCCAGACTTGGTTTGCTACTCCAGGCAAGTAGTCCGGACCCTTCAGTGAGCGCCGTGCTGTGTGGATATACACACAGAGCTGATGCGCTAGTGATACCACGGTGGAAGCGGCTGCTGGGGGCACCTGCACTCTCCCCGCCCCCCATGCGAAAAAGCCATGTTTTCACATCAACTAAATCCACAGAAGAGCCAGCAGGGAGTAGTGACTGGCGGACTAGGATACAGTTAAAGCCAGGTTCAAATCCTCACTCTGCCACGCAGGGCTTTTTTTGTAGAAAAAGCCCAGCAGGGACTCATTAGCATAATAGACCACGCCCAACAGCAGGA